AATCAAAAACGTGGGAAAAATAAATTCTCTACAAATGTGTACTTAACAATTTTTTACGAAAAATGCACAATAAGCTTGCAAATCGCAAAATCCCAAAAAATACCCAAAATCCAATGTGGCGAAATATTCCCAATTCAAATTTAGGGGCAAGACTCTGGATAAATGGTCTATGTATCAAATAAAAGTAAACTGCATCTTCGTACCAATTTGATCTAAATTTAAAAATCCTAGAAAATTGTAATTTTGCGTGGAAAAAGCCTTAATATCATTTAAAAGTTGGGGAGTTGCTATTTACTGCATTTATGCGGAAATAAGTTTTTTTTGCTATTTCATTTTTTTAATGCACTGAAGTAGAAAAATTTAGCAGTCCTTGATAAAACCGATATAAGCTAACAGCGAATCGTTCGTGGAAAGGCGTTTTTAAAATGCATACATATATCGCACGTTTAATAATATAGAGATGAAACTCAAAATTTATGTTTTCGGAGATTTCATTATGCAGTTAATAAGTAGTAGTAGATAAGTAGAATATATTCAGTCTTACAGATCACCAAACTCCCTAAACATGGCGAAGATATATGCTTTTCCATCTGTCTTTTTGTATACTAACTGTTTGTGAATTGATAAAACTTTGATTGCTTTTTTCCAAAAAATTGAAATTTTGAAATACTTCGTTATATTATTAAACGTGCGGTATATATAAAGTCATGCGATAAAATGGGGCCACGACATTTTCGTATTTCGTATTTCTTTATCCACATTTCAAACCAAGGCGAATTTATATAAGGTGGTGTTACTAGCTCAGCTGATTTTGTGTATGTGTTTCGCCGCACGGCTTCTGATATCAAATTGGAAAATTTTGTTTGAATTTCTACACACACTCTTACAGATTTTGACAGTTTATGCCGCCAAAGCAAAAACAAAATACATGTAAATTTTTGTTTTTGTACTCCTGCTATCACCTTATATTAATTCGCCTTGTTTCAAACTTTGTAGACAAATTCAAAAAAGTTTCACAACAACAACAAGCTTTTCACAAACAAAATCTAAGTATATACATATGTAGTTTTGTACCCCAATTAAATTCTAGAGACAGGAAAAAGTGCAACTTTTAAGAGGCTAAGAATTCGCGTTGATTTTTGTTAACTGTCGAACATAGTAACTTTGTATAGAAGAAAATGTGTGACACCGTCAACAAAAAGTAACAGTATTTTGTAGACACTTCAAACTGAAAATTCTTCGTTGTGCTACTTTGTTGAATTTTTTAATAGGGTGTAAAAAGTTAAAAATTGAGACTTATGTGGCTTTTGTTGGACCGTATACTTTATCGCGGGGTGTACAACGGGTACACATAGTACCAGGAGTTCTTTTATTTTAGTGAAAAACTTTCAAAAAAATAACTAATTAACTAAAGCCAGACTACCCTAGAAATGTTTTTTTGGTCATAAAAACGTGTCCTGCGAAAAATTTTTCAAATCGGACAACGGAAAGACGGGGCCCTAAAGTTCAGCTTTTCCATGCAATTTTTCACAAAGTGGTCTAAATTGCCTATAAGTGGGTGGGAAATTTAATATATTTTAATTTAACTACAATACACAATATTTTTACACAATATTTTTAAAGTATCCACTTTTGGATTCCCTAAAAAAGTATAACGCCGAGGCGATTTTCTAGGCGATTCAACACTGGTGCAGAAAAATCGCCCTTGTAAATGGTGATTCGAAAATCGCTTTTCGCAAAGTAGACAGACAGACAGCAAGTCAACTTTTGCAAGCGTTTATCGCCTGTCAAAAACTCGCCTCATGTAAAGGCAGCTTTAGGCATACATATGTACGTAGCCAAAGACAGGCAATAATGTTACTCATACGCCATGTACCCATATCTACGCGTTTGATGAAACTTAATAGGAAAAAAATATAATAATTGATTACTCGAAAGTCATTAATCGCACCTTTCACTGAATAAATTTTCCATTTATAAAACATATTTCTTCTACTGTAATACCATGGTACCGTTGCGGTAATTTCCAATAGTTTTTAAATGGTTAAATATATGTATCTTCTGTCAAATTGAGAGATAGTGCATTTCATTATTTTAATCAGTATGACTTTCAGAGCTAGACGATAAAATTTTTGTTTATCTTCTACCTTTTGACCTCAAGTGCCAGATTCACTGCTCTATAAATGATATATGTATGAAGCATACGCACGCACGACTATATATGTATGTACATACAATACATATTTAATTAAATAAAATATGTATATAAAAATAAGTGTCCGGACAAGTTAGAAACAATGTAGCATTTTTTTATCATAACTAAATATGGAGTACATAGTTAAATTCATACAAAACAAGCAATTCATTTATATATAGTATGTATGTACTATATTCAAATAAATAAATATAATTAATGAAAGTGCATCTACTATTTCAGAACAAGTGAATGCATATATATGTAAGTGGATTGCGGATTAAGTTGCTACGTGCTGCTGTGGGTTGGTGCCTCCTCTTTCTTTTTGTTTGATTGTTTGCTTGATTGTTTTTAAATTGATTTGCATGTTAAGTTGTTTGACTGATTTGTGAGTTAATAGCTAAATTGATTGATTGTACATACATATGCTAAGCTACACCCGTAATAGCAACAACAACAATATATGATCAGAAAACAAATGCGCTGTGGATAAAATTAACTCAAAAACAAAAGGGTAAACATGAAAGCAAGTAGCAATAGTTGCAAAAATGCAAAAGCATTCATAAATATGTAAAATTTTTCCAATTGCTACATATGTATGTATGTATGTGCATGAGAATGCATATACAAAATATGTACATATGTATGTAATAATAAGTAGACAGCAAGAGATTCTTGAACCGGCGTCGATAGCGAACATGGAAAATCATCACCAGCAACCAGCAATGAAATACACAGTTACAAATTACAACATTCAATTAAACCTAGGCAAAGCGGCTTAAAGTGTTTAAAGCATTTATTTTAAAGAAGGAACGTGTGTGTATTTGTATGGTATTTATGTATGTAGTATGCATGTAATGCTCGATTTATAGCTGGCTAATATGCTATGTTATGTTTGCATTGCAGCATACACTTAATTTATAGTTTATAGCTTTGTAGATATGCGTTGGTGTATTTTGGTGACTTTTTTTTGTTCAATGTTTTTAACTGATTTGATATCTATTATATATGTATATATGTATGTGTGTTGTATATGTACAAGTGTTATATGAGCATATATGTACCCTACAAGACATTGCTGAGCACTTTAGGCAAAAATTCTAACACATTTACAATTTTGTTTTTGTAGTACGGCATAAATGAGTAGTTTGACTATTAGTACTGAGGACTTTCTGATGACAACATTGAGGGGAAAGTACTCAATTTTTTCCCATGGCCTGAACGAAAATGAGGACTTTGATAAGCACTTTTGTGATTAGGGATAATGATAATATGAGTACTCATATGATACTCAGCTGTCTTGTAGGGTATGCATGTATGTACATATGTGTATGTGTGTATGTGGTAGATGTCTTTTGTTTGCGAAATCTTTTCTAAACTCAACAAGATCGCTTTTCTTTACTGACGATTGTTTGCTTATAGTTTGAACGAAAACGAGTACAAATGCAATAACGAGTACGAGTACGAGTACGAGTACGAGTAGGAATACCGAGTATGTAGTTGTTGTTGTTGCTGCATGTGAACACATACCTTGACATTGATAGCCTTGTTTACCAATTCCCCTGCAAAGGCAAAAAATTTCCGTAGCTTGTATATATGTGAATATAGGATTAATATTAAGTGATGATGTACAAAAATTAACTGATAATACTGATCAAATAGATATGTATTTATGTGATTTATGTGAGCCATAAACGTAAATTATATGTAATAGTACTAAACCGCTAGTGAAATGGACCATTTTGACAAAAAATATTCAATCATACTCTATACATAAATATTTTTCGTTTTATTTGAAAAAAAAAAAATGGCCCAGCATTATTCAAAGGAGAAAGCAGAATATGAATAATATTTCGTCGGAAGCGCAAATCAGCACAAAGTGAATTTAGCAATAGTTTTTTGTAATTTTGTTTATCCAGCGCCAAACTACACCCAAATAAATAATAAAAATACTTATATGTATGTTTGTATGCATGTACATGTCTATGTTCGCACCAAACAAATATAACATAAAACATTTAATATTTATGTATATATATGTATGTATGTAGATAAGTATTCTTTGTACCAAATAAATTTAAAATTAAACTTTGAAATAATTACCTAATTTTACCCAAAAAAAAAAATACATTCTAATTGGCTAAATAGTTGTGAAAACAAGAAAATTCAATAAGAACAGGAAGTGTAATGTGACCAAATTATACTGCGATAACCAAATGGTGAAAAGGATAGTAACTAAATACAGTTATTCACTGTTATGAGCGTATAAATTAAGAATATATTTTAATATGATTATGGTAAATAGCAGGTTTATGGTAAGGATGATTTTATACCTCCAATGCCACAGCGATTTGTCGCATGCGTTGACTTTTCTGTGGCAAATACGCGCCATGTACTTACCAAATAAATTTTTGGCAATGTGAACAAAAAGTCGGCTGTCGCAAGAAAGTCGCCATAAACTTGTGTCCGTTTACCTGTTAAGAGAGCAAATAAATAATGTTTTTTACTATCTATGTGTTTACGTATGTATTTTTTGTATGTATGCATATGGGTCATTATTTTAAAAATTGACTTCATAATTTAAAACAAACTTAAACTAAAACTTTAAAACTAAGCTAAGACTTTTTTTGTAAGTTCTATGCACGAAATTATGAAATATCTATATATGTATGTGTGTATGTATGTATATCAGGAAAACATTTTTGCAGAGATATGAATATATTTAGTTTGGGTGGGTTTTTTTATATTAAAGGTTGACAAATTTGCAGATGACTGCAAATTGCAAATACCTCCAAAAATTTAGTTTTTTATTAATAAAAAGAGTTTTTCTGAGTATTTTTTTTTTTAATCACCTCAGCTGACCAAACAGTTTAAGCTTAAAAAATTTACATACAAGTATTTAAAAAAAATTATCTACGGTATCATAATAACGCGATTTTCGATGCTGTTTTTGAACTTTTTTCAAAGACTGGTTTAAGAAAAACTTGAATAACTCAGCCAAAACCTTACCAATTTAGACTTCCGAGGTATCATTGGTAAGGTATTTGCTCACCTATTTAGTTTCTTTGCGAATAAGCTCATTCAAAGTATGAAAGAGGAAGGTAAGATAAATGGGTATCATTCCACGTTGAATTAAGATGTGTTGGTATTTGATAAAGAAAAAGTTGGGACGCGAGTTTTTTTGCAAAGAAATAAAAAATGTGAGAAAATACATTTCCACTGATACCTCATAAGTCTATATCGGTAAACTTTTGGAGCAGTTATACAATTTTTTTCTTACTCAACTCTTTGAAAAAATTAAAAAAAAAAACAGCATCAAAACTCTCGTTATTATGATTCCGTTGTTACAAAATTTTAATATTTTTATGTAGATTTTTTAAGCTCAAACTGGTTTATCATCTGAGGGGATTTTTTCCAAAAAATCTTTAAGAAACTTTTTTTATTCATAAAAAACTGCAATTTTAGAGGTATTTTCAAACCGGTCTAGCTCACTTAAATCTTAATATTTTCCGAAATATTTTGGTAGAAGTCTTAAAATATAATAGGCTAGAAGCCCACAACTTTTTTTGGTGATGCAGTCTAATGTAGTACATAAGTGTCAGCAAAATTTTCGAAAGTGCCAAAATGTTTTTTTCCCTTTTAAACAGTGATATTTGTTCCTTAAATCCGTACGATTTGCAAAATAATGATCCATATGTATGAACATATAATTCGTTCTACACATGTAAAAAAATAACACGGATTTCGAAATACATAAATGGGTTAGGAGAAGTAATGAATACAAAAGATAGTACCGCTAGCTTAGAGTGAAAAGTTGCTAAGTCCGCTTTTTATGAAAACAGATATTTTGATACAGGAGGCTAGAGAAATTAAAAATCCATCATTTCTAAAAGATTAAAGGTCCTCATTTTAGGTTTTCTCGCTTATATTCAATGTAAGGGAAATTTGCCAAGTCCAAAAAAAAAACCCGAAAATTCAATAAGGCTACGAAATCTTTTCATATAGATCGAATCCCTCTGATTCGTATGGAGTTTTGCTTTTTCTTTAAACAGGCAAAATGTTGTATTAAAAGTTTTGAGAAATACTTGAAGAAAATGGCTATAACAAGTTTTTTCCTCTGCTGTACAATTTTTAAATCGGGCAACTTTTCACTCTAAGCTAGGGATATGTTGTTATTTGGCATACGCAATGATTTCTAACCTGATGCACACGCCGCCGCATGGCACCGCGACGGCGATTGAAACCAGCGCGCTCTTTGAATTCTTTATTTTGGGTAACCGCTTCCACCACTTCAGCAACATCCTTATTGGAATCTATATCAAGAAAAAGTTTATCAATGGGTATGTGCGCTTCCAAAAAAAAAAAAAGAAAAACCTAAAAAATTACATACCAACTCGATTCTTTAATTCGATTATAATATGTAGTTTACCCTGTGGCTCCAAATTCACCTGCAATGCGAATTCGATTTAGTTCTGTTTTTTTTTTTTTTAATTTCAAAATTGTTGCTTACCCATAGATCAAGTACACCCGTTTCATTTTGCATAATATCTTCAAAAGGTATTTGACAATTGGCAACAAAATCATCCGGTGGCAGCGCTGCGTCGTGAAATACCGTCAAATTAATATTTTTTGCATTGGTAACATCGTGAACGAATTGCTCATTCCAAACTGGATCGAATGTCTTGGGTCGCGTTGTAGAGCGATCTAAAAAAAGTTGTATTTTTTAAAGTGAAAATTAATGTATGAAACATAAGTACATATGTACATATGTACATATGTATGTATGTATATGTTCATATATGTAGTTGTTCCCAAAATTATTTTTCTTTTGTTTGTTTGATGCTTATTAATTTTTTTTATAGAAGCATAGCTCATTATCTAACAAAAACCACATAAATCCGAACTTGAATCTTTGTACCAACTTTCACAAAAATGTCTAAATTTTTATTCAGAATTTTTAGAACAATTTGGCATTCATTAATTTTGAATAATTTTTTGTTGACGTATTTTCTTCTATATTTGAAAATGCCTAGCACCGTTAATAAATCAAATTCTAAATGCAATGTTAACAACTTCAAGCTTGCACTTTATTTTACTAAAGTACAATAGCCAATAAAACTTTTGGTAAAAATTTCGAATTTTTTTTTATATTTGTACAAAATTTTAAATTCGTATTTATGGGATTTTTGCTAGATAATACTTTTATAAAAATTATTACATATTAAACAAATAAAAGAAATACATTCAAAACTTCAAAATATCGCACTCCCTTTAATTTGGTGACAAATGTACATAATAAAAATATGTATATATTTTTTTTTATTAATAATAATATTTTGGCGCTTATACTTTTGCTAAGTATTAGGCCAGCTTTTCCTGCAATTTGTGCTGTGCGTCTTGATGTTATTACACAAAATGGAGGACCTACAGTTTTATGTCGCCTCCTATTTTTTGATGTTGGGTCGAACCGGGCTTGAACCCAGGCCCTTCGGTATGGTAGCGCGCACTGCTAACCACTACACCCCAGTGACCAAGTGTGTTCGATATAAATTCATGTATTAATTGCCTTAAAAAATTCGTTTAAAAGCAATCTTAACGAGAAAATATCACGATGGAAAGAAATATCGCGTGCGAGAGTGATTAAAATTAAATTAAAAAAAAAAAAATACATAAATCATTTTTGGGTAATATCAAAACCATTTTAAAGAGACATCAATGCAGAACGTTCTATAGTCACATTGAAAGGTTTCACTGAAATCGGCGTTTGAATTGTTGGCCGCGAAAACCACTTCTGTTTTTTTTTTATCCCGTGCGAATGCCTTAGTTTTTGCAATTAACTTGAAAACGAAAAATTGCCCAAATTCAAAATTGGCACCTAATTAAGAGCTATAAGTTAAGCCTATTGTAAAAAAAAAAACAAAGTTTTAGATTACGTTCGATGGTCGTGTTCGACATTATGGAAATGACCGTTTGTAGCAAAGATCGACACAGATGACAAAATTAATATCGAGGGCTTATATTCAATACCCTCTATATGGACTTTTCACAAAAATGAGATTCTGATATCACCCCTATCCACCTAAGACTTAACTGTCATCGGGAATATTAATGCTAGCCTTGCATAACGCTTAACTGAAGAATTTACTATTAAATTACAGAGTCAGAATTCACATCGGTGACGACAGGTAAGTCCCAGATGGGTTCTAAGTGGTTTTTGGTACAAACTAATACCAACAAGTATTTTATCGTTGGTTGTTCGTTAAAAAATGAAAATTATCATTGAACGTCGACTTTTCAATAAGTTTACATTAAATATTTTAACCAGTTGCGGCAGTTGCGGTACATTTCTTCAGATTAAAAAAATTATTAAAAAATCGGTCACTATTCGTACGCAAATTGAAAATTTTAACACTAAAAGATACCGATAAATTGTGCTTACCAAAATGATTATCGTCGACATCGATCGATATGTAAGGATCGATCGGCTGCTCGTCGGCCAACTTTCCGAATGTCAAATTGTGGCGCTTTTGAAAATCGGTTGGTCGTAGCCCGATAGCCTCACAAACTTTTATTTGTAATTTTCCCGTAAACATTGTGTAGATCAAATTTATTAAAAGCGTTTCAAATGGAAAGGATACCACTGCAAAGGTTGTGCACAATGAACGAGCTTAGGAACGATATTTAAACGGAAGTTGTGGGATCGCACTAATCGTTGGCAGATGTCGCGTTTGCAGTTTCACAAAATGTTTCGAAAGGTATATCCTGTGTGCACGAAATAAATGGATTATATATGTAAATACAGTGCTTATGTAGATATGTATGTATGTATGTGTAAACCGGAACTCACAATGATTCGATAACAGCAAGGCTATTTTATCGTTGACCAATCAACCAATTCAAAAGGTGATAATGAAACGGAAATCCTCTCGAGTGGCGCGCACAGTAACACACACACACACACGCACACGCACACGCACAATTTTACTCTGCTGCTGCTGTAGAGAAACGGTGGGGCGCGCGTGCGCCTTTTTTAAAACACGATCACTGATAATTTAACGAATGCAAGCGTTTAGGTTATTTTTTAAATATTTTTTTTTAGATATTTTTGGGTGGATTCAATTGTAAATATGCGTTTTTTCTGCGGTATTGATATTAAAATAATTTATTAACCATACATGCATACTATATTGCACAGTATTTTTATTTTTTTTTGTGTTAAATACACATACATATATGTATGAATTTCTTGTTTGCTGCTTCCACTTTGTGTACTTTTTCGCATTCACTTTCGCCTTCAAGTGGCAAATGAATCCAATTCATAAAAATTATTCTGTTTCAATTGTGTGCGTGTGTGTGTAATTCACCTAATTACACTTTTATGTTTGTTTGTGCCTCTGCTGTTGTCGATACTGCCGTTGCCGTTGCCGTTGCCGTTGATGCTGCTTTCGTTCGTCGTTTGTGCGATTGTTGCGCACTTTGCCCATTTAATGTCAATTCAAGTTCGCTGTCGCAACACTTTTATCGTATTGTGCGTTACATTTACATACATACTATGTGCATTATTATTTTTTCTTGTATTCGCGAATAAGATTTATGCTATTTTTCTCCTCCTAGCTGCTTATTAAATCATAATGTTGCAGGTTCTTTTTGGTTGCCACTTTAGATATTCTGTTCAGGATTTTGCTTATTTGTAACTGCAGCTCTAGTTAATAAGAATCTACATACTACATACATATGTGTATGTACATATGTATGTATAGAAAATAGACAAGTTGATACATGCATACATATGTATGTATATCCTTGAATTTCTATTTATGCAATTACACTAAAAAATTTTATTTTCTTAAAAACAAAAACATTATGACAGTGTTGCAACTGTTTTTCGTCAACGCTAATGCAGTGATATTTATTTGGCTAGAGGCTCATATGAATTTGTGGCTGTGTCTAACTTGTTATGTTATCTTCTAAATTTGTACATACACACGTAGTATGTATGTATGTGTATATGTACACCATATGTACATATATGTAAATACAAATGTAGATGCGTTCATATGCTACAAACATATGTATGTACATACATACATACTCACATGAGTACTTTTGCTCTTGTGCTTTTGGGTTGCTAGTTTTGTTATACTAAGTAAGTATGTATGTATGTAGGTATTTTCTCCTCGCTACTTTTAATTTGCTACTTTACTTCTTGCTTTGCCTCATGCTTCTGGCCTTATTCTCATTCTTGGTAACTTGATTGACTGAAGACTTGGTGGCTAGCTAGTTGGCTGTCTTAATAGTTGGTTCCTTCCTCCACTTTTGACGTTCTTCCCGTTTTTTTTTTGCTGTTTCTAATGTTGGTATATTAGAAAGAAATATGTAGCAGAGTGGAAAAAGAACGGAAGGTATTTCACTTGCACTTCCCCCTTCCTATTTGCGCGCGTACACAAACACACGCTCACTTATGGTAGTATTTACTTATTAAGGTATATTTACCACACTTAAATTATTAGATGTCTTAATGTTTAAAATCAAAAGGTTTTTTTGGTTGTACTTGGATAAATTTGTTTTCGTTTTTTTTTTTTATATACCATTGTCCCTAGTCACTATGCTTCGTTTGTCCATTAGAGCTTCGTATCTAAATGCTTCTTCCACTACTTCAATATTTGCTTTCGACTTAAATTCCTTTACTCATATTCGATTGCTTTTTGGTGCTTCGTTCGTTTGCGCAGACACCACAAATTCTTGATCTTCTCACATTCGAGATTCGTTAATTACATACATAAATATGTATGTATGTACAAATGCATTTACATACTTATATTTTAGTATTATTAGTGCTCTTGCAAGAAGGTATGAAAAATTTTTCCGACATCTTATATATTTTTCTTATTTTGCAAACATATCTTCTATCTAATATTTTCCTCTGACTTTTAATAAAATGCAAATTCCAGCAGAAATTCTATAATTCGCTCTGGAAGAATTTTCCAACGAAAAACTTTTCCTTACTATTTGCACAAAAAGTGGGTGCACAAAATATGAGGAAACTGTGTAGAGAAAGAAGCAGAAAATGGAAAGAAGTCAAATACAAAAGTCGTTTGCGAAATTTTCACTTTTTTCAATGCACAACTCAATATAATTCACAAAATTTCTAATTACTTCGTTAGTATTTCATTTGAACTTGTATTTGTGCTTGATTTTGTAATTATTAGGCTTTGTTTTCCACTATAATTTTAATTTTGAATATGAAATACACGAATTTTCTTCGCGACTAAAGACTTTGGATTTTCAGCGAATGTGGAGCAAAGCGCAATGAATGGAATTGGTATTTCCACTGAATGGAGCTTAATACAGGTTCGCATGTGGAGCTTTTTTGTAAAGCAAACATCTGACTCCCAAATACCTGTGGTCATAACAATGCGGTGCCATACTGTTTTTATTATTGCGAGTTTTTGGGGGATCGTTTTGGAAAAAAACGCTTTTACTTATTTACATACATATGTACATTCAGGGCACATATCGTTAAAGCTCTATTTGAAAAATTTTAAACCTTAAAAAAAAGCAAACAAATCTTAAATGCAATCAGTAGCCAACATTTGTTATCGCTAATTTTGATTACCAAAAATCTCCAAAAGAATAGCAGGCACCCCTAACACCCACGCAACATTCCCCAATACTGCAGATCCATTTTTAAGGCGATAATGAAGTGGCAAACTGCCTACAGCATTGGGGAATAGCAAATTTTTAAAGTTATGTGCTGAACAGCGCGTGCTGATTTTATTTTTCAAAAACTGTAAATTCCTAAGAAAACTTTATTTTAACAAAAAAAAAAGGAAGGCTTTAAATACGAAGGCATTTTTGGAATGTAAAGGTTTTAACCGTATGATTGGAATGCAGATGAATCTTTTTATCCAAATAAAAATTCACTTCTAAAAGCCAAAAGATATATTTTTATTTATTCTTTCAAATATGAACTTTTGACAAAACTGTAATTTGTACTAGGAGGTAATTTAAAACAACTGAAGATTGTCCAAATACCACGATTTACAGTTAAAACTTAAGGCATGACGACATTGAAGTGAATAAATATTTATTTTTTGGCATACAATAAAAATGAAGAAGGAGACCAAAAAATGTATAGGGGTCTTCATCTAAAGTGATAAAAAAAAATTCCTTAAATTTATCAGTTTATCCGCATTATTTTAAGAGCGCACCTAAGTAAATAATTGCATTATTTTTTATTCATTTAATTGTTTATTATTTAACTTATATGGCTAGTTACTCTTGATTCTCGTCCATTGTGTTCATGTGCTTTTATGTGTTCGTGGCAAAAGCAAATACCTGTCAACCTGTAGGGGTTGAATTTTGCTGAAATTTACCCTGCAGGAATTCAGACTCATCCTAGGTTAGCCCTCAGATAGTCCGTATTGTTACCAGCACTAGTCCCTCATAATTCCCCTGCCAATGGTTTTAACTGCCATTTTTTGCATTGGCGTGTCATTGGAAAAGGACCGGTCCAATCAACACTGACCGTAAGATAGTCCTGGACTAGTCCAATTTTGGAGATTTTTTTCGTTGAAGTAAGATTGCATTCTGCACTTCGCAGATGCTTTTTCATAATTCGGAAAAACAAAAAAAAAATGTATCATTTAATAACCATGTTGCCTCTGACGGCATTTGAACCCGGACCCTCCTGAAAGCTAACAAATAGTGCCAAGCATCTCTGCGCACTGAGCTACAGCCACGCATGTAAATGTGTGTTCAAATGTTCACTTTGTATCAAGGCCAGACCAAGCGATTGGGACATTTACAGGGTGGTGTTCTTTAAATTTTTTTTATTTAATTGCAAGACAACACCACCCTGTCACTGCTAAACTGTACTTTTCGTCTATCTCTAGGCCGGTTCCTTGGGGACTTGTCGAAGGCTGACATTTTCGATGCAAGCAAATCTCCAATTCTGACCAGTCAAATTTTAACCAGTGAAGTACTAGTCCTTTACGCAAAATTGGCCGCCTTATTACTGCAGGGTACACATTTATCCACCAAATCGTTTGATAAAGTGATAAACTTTGGTTAAATAGATTTCCATACAAAGTTTGACACTTCATTTATCAAAATGTTAAATTTATCACTTTATCAAGTTTATCAGGAGTTTATCACTTTGAGGATCCCATATGTATTTGCACTAGGGTGATTGACTCGGTCTATCCAAACTGGTTTCCACCTTTTTTTTATTGATATCTCTTGGTGGATTTTTTGAAATCTTGATTTTTCTAACCGGCTTTTTCATTTCAAAAAAATCTTGACCTCAATAAAAGTTTCCGAAAAATGCAATAATTTGAGATTAAAATAAGAGCCAGTGTGATTTTTTCACTGATTTTTTTTTGTTTTACTTTTGATCTAAACAAACTTTGGACTTAATTTGCTTCTAATAGAAATAAACTGGATAGAGCCTGTGCCAATTGATAGAAAAAAATGGTGGTCTGGACATACAACATTGCAAGTTGTGATGGAAAATTTTGAAAGATCAAACTAAAAATTCGACACAGCAAAATTCAATTTATTTGTACACCACAATGCATTTTTCCAACCTGTTTCACCACGGAGAAGAAAGTTACCGATTGGCATAAAGCCAACGTTAAAGTTGTGTTTAATTTCGTTAACTTATGTAGCTCTACTTATGTAGCTCTGAAACGGAACGATATTATGTATTTTGATTTTTTATTCTTGCTCGATAAAATAATGATATCGATATATGTTGTTGTTGTTGTTCGATTTGTTTACCACGTCTGAGGGAGGCGGATTGATTATTCACCATTTCAAAAAAGTTACTCACCATAGAACTTACCATATGGCATAGATTACTTTATCTGAAAACAGGGTTTACGGGGTCCACAATTTCAATACACTTGAAATGCAACCCTGCGCTTTGTTTGCAATTGTGGAAGCTGAGTCGGCTTTTGATAAAATTCAACGTAGGCGTTTTTAATAATTTGTGAGTTAAATCTATCGTAGTTCCAAAATGGGTAAGTTTATAATTAATTCTTATAGAATTAGCGAAGTGCATATACATATATTAATCCGTGTTATTTAACAATTATTTACTGCACGAAAACAGGTGTGGAAACCAAGAGTGGTAGCAGTAATCTCGTTTCGGCAGTGATATCCTGCATACTGAGTTTGGTCATATTCGCCACTATGCGGTTCTACTCCGGTTGGATCACAGATACCCAAATGAATACAATTGTTGGTGGATTCATTGGTTCGTGGTTATTTGTGTTCGCGCTTACTGCTGTGTCGAATATGGAAATGCTTGTATTCGGCAATGACTTCCAAGCTAAGTTCATACCGGAAATATTGACTTGCTTATCGCTGGCTACAGTGGCATCCGGGGTGGTACATCGAGTTTGTGCCACAACATGGTATGTACATCAATGGTTATGATCGGGTCAGTTAATTGATATGTTTTCTATTTCAGCATTATATTTTGTATCGGCGCTTTGTACTTTATAAATCGCATATCTAATAAATATCACAATAAAAATGCTATTGCCGTAGAGCAAGCGCCTGTTCGGCGGGGCGGGGGCAAGAAAAATAAGTAAAGCGTTCACATCTAGTGGCCAACTACATTTTGCAAACGATATGCCTTAAGCGTACTTGTGTTGGCCATGTCTTTTTAAGTATTTATTTAAAAATAAAATTGTATTACTTATCTCAGTGAACATTTGTAAATATGCCTTCTTAAGCCTGCAATCTTGTTAAGTTAAACTTTTTGTATAATTTTAATTAAGTAAATAAAAAATTATACTTAACTTGTCATTAGTACCAGTATTTCGATATCCTGATTTCGCGGCAGGTTGTCCCCTAATCTTGTGATGACTATGGAACTAATCTCTTGATCATGGCAGTTGTAACAACATATGAATTCTCTTTGGAAATGCTATTGAAGTGACGGTCCTTGTCCAGACACGAACTAGCGCCGTTCAGGTTTCGTATTCCCCACTGTTGTAGTGTCTACTTAACCTTGCCTAGAATCGGATATTTCTTCAAGATATACAGGCAGGTTCTGCAATTCACTTCCGAGTAAATTTCATTCTAATTCGCTTTGGTTTCAAATTACTAGGGGTTGAAATTCACTCGGAAGTGAATGGCAAAACCTGCCTGATAGTATATACATATGTGCATATATCGCCAATTATACAAAATTTATAGGAGACGAAAAAAAAAAATAAATTTTGCGTGTTTAAAGACGCATTCGCCATTAATTAAAAGATTTCGTATTACGAGCATATTGGCCTTATAGAATTTGCCGTTCCTCTTTTGGACTTTACAATTTTGTCTTTCTTTGAATATAAAAGGGAAGAGATAAAACAAGTGCCTTAATACTTTTGGAAACTGCATTTTTAATTTATCTTGCTCCCTGTATCAATATGAGCTTTCACAAAAGTGAACCTAGATATTAGAATGGCACGTACGGGAGCTTGGAAAACGGAAAGAACGCGAAAAGCTAGTAAACTCCATTTCAAACTGAATTGAAGCCGAGTGAAAAATATCAAAAATTTTAGTGGTTTCCTAAAAGGAGTACTCCATCGTTCGTACGGAACAAAGCTTACGAATTTACTAGTTTACGGCTCTAATTAAAGGAAAAGTAAAAAGTTAAAAAGCGAAGTATTTAGATAGTATATTAAGTTTGTATTATAAAGTAGTAACCAAAAACAAAAAATTCTTTGCTGCAATATTCGCGTGGGCCCGAAGGATCCCAAATAAATTGCCTGTTTGTACGGGACAGCTCTAGTCTACCATAAATTTTAGTTGCTGTGTGTTAAGTAAAACTTTAGCGAAATTAATGGTAATTCTAAAAGGTTAGATTAGGTTAGGTAGCACTGACATTAGTAATTATTAACACAACAAAACTTTTAAGAATACTTTTATTTGAAAAAGTTTAAGTAATCATAATGAAATTGTTTATAAGTGACACGTGTGTTTGTACCCAACAAGCAAAATAAACTTAAAGAAAGTTTTTTTTAAGTTTTCAATTATAAACATTAAGCTTACAAAACGTTGATTT